GACCTTTACAATACAAGTGATCCCAACAATACAGAGCAGGCTTCCCCTAGGGATGGTGTATCTTTCCTACCTTTGTAAAGAATGATGCTGCTATCCAGACACTTGTTTCATTTTAGGGTACATATGAAATAAGACACTCCATCAATTGCATTCAGTAAAACCACACCTAACACAACATGGAGAGGTCAAAATTTCATGCCTCCAAATGGCAAACTCATCTCTTCAGTTTAGTTGATACATTTAGTTTCCTATCCTACACCAAGCACCACATAATGTGAAGTACAACAAAAACAGACATAATTTTTTCCTACCCCTTCCCTCCTTCTCATTTTCTACTACACTCTTGGAAAAGAACAATGCATGTTGAATATAGAGGACATTTTTTAAAATTTTAAAAGACTGAAAAAGCAAAAAACTCATCACCACGTCCTGACATGAGATAAAGACTTGTTACAAATGGAATAAAATAAACTTTGTTACCTTCACTGCTCTTAAACTGTAACACAGCAACAAAAAAACCCTTTATAAATTAAAAACTAATTTGGATATCAAAACCGTTTCAAAATGTAGTTTAGGTCATCTTCTTGTTCTCAGACTTTAAAGACTCACACCTATGTAAAATTTCCACTGTCTAACAAATGTAGAATGATGAGGCTCCTTCTACACCAGTGTCCATTATCAGTTCATCTAAAAGAGCACAGTGAAATGCTAAATGGAAACTGCACTGCTGAATGACACAGTGCTCCAAAATTTGCAAATACAGTACCTAGACAGGAAAAAGAGTAAACACATGATTAACAGGTATTGCAGTAATCCTCATGGCAAACATTGCCAAATCAATGATTTGGGAAGCTGGACAAGATCTAAAGATCCCTTCCAACCTCAACAGTTATGTGGTTTGTGGCAAAAAATCAAAGTACTTCTCTGTAACTTAAGGTACAAATTCATATCTTTGTTCAAACATAATGGGAAATAAAATATTCAAAAATTAAAATAAATCAAGATAAGAGGGTAATTTTTTCCACTATACTTTTTAATTCTGTCACTAATACCTGCTTAGTTTAAGATGACAAGCAGGCAGCAGTTTCAAGAAACTATGAAAACTGCAGAACAGTAACTTTTATAGTAAGAGTAAAAAGTGAAAGCATCCTTTGGCATTCTCTCTAGTACAGGAAATTCTTTATATATTTGGCTACTTAGTCACATTATTACAAAACTTATCAATAAAAATCCTGAATTAATACTTTTATAATTTTTGCTGAAAAATCAAGGTCCTGAAATTTAAGCTCATGTCACTTGAATTCTGTTTTCCTGGGTAAACAACTTCTGAAACCACTGAAACACCTGCTCTGCAGGTAGTAAAGATATTATCTGAACACGTAATAAAGAACACCCATAAGAAGGGGCTTAATAATACTGTCTACATTTTAGGTTTCAAATACACTCTTTGAATAGTATGGATTATGAGCATCAAGTTCAACTTGCAAGCCACAGACCACTGGATATATCCCATAAGCTTTCCAGAAGTGATAAAATCTGTCATAATCATTTGACAGAGCCTTGTTGAGTAAGCATTATCACAACACACAAGAGAGGAATCACAAATTTACCAACATGACAAAGTACTTAGTCCTAATCTATTCAGCTACACATTTGAAAAACTGGACAAAAACCAACCCATTTTATTCATGCCTAGATCCTAGACACATTTTAGAGTTAACCTGTAGCACAGAGACTAGAGCTCACTTCTCTTTCCGTACAGCTTGCTACATATCACTATAGGAAACAAGATACTAATCCAGCTATAACAAGCATACAGCTGATTAGAAAACTAACTCAAGGATGATGACATCTTCTTGTTGCATTTCCAGTCTCACAGTGCTCTGTCATTTTCATGTGAAGAAAAGATTTCTTTGTCAGCATTCCCTGCTACATAACTCATGAGCAGGGCTGAGAAGAAAAATTATTTTACCAGTGCTCCATACATCACATTCAGCAGATAGATATCAAAGGATTTGGAATGAGAATTATGTTCTCCGTATGCATCAACAACAGATTAGTCAAATGACAATATGTCACTCCATTTTATTTGATTTTCTCTATAAACACTTTTCAGAAAAAATACCCAAAGGTGGAATAGAACATTTTGGAAGGAAAAAAAATTGAAGTATTTCAGGTTGTATTTTTTTAAGATATACAAGTAAGCGCTGAAGAATTAGCAAGGCTATGGTATTATGACAGATCAAGTACCTAACAGGTTTTTGCCTCTTTAGAAAATGGAAGAAACCTGATGCGGCTTTTTAAAACTGTAAGAAACAGATTGTGTACTTTCTGCGATTTCTCTATCTTTCAAGCACAGGACATTGACAGCTCAGAAATTTACAAGAGGGTTGTTTGTTCGGTTTGAGGCCGTGAGGCACCTTAGACATTACTTCAGTAACCCAGAAAATCACGAACATATTTTCCTCTCTCCGCGTGCACCTTTCTGCCGCCCGGCCTCCCCTGCCCGGTGTCTCAGGAGCTGGCGAGCGGAGCCGCAAGGACACGGGCCGAGCTGCCCCAGCCCCGGCCAGCCAGCGCACCGCGGCGGCTGCCGCTCGCCCCCGCCGCCCGGGAATCACGAGGGTCGGGTCTCCCCCGTTCTCTGCCCCCCGCACACCTCGGGCAGCGGGGGCGGGCACCGCCAGCCCGGCGGGGAGGCGGCCGGAGCCCGGCGGTGACTCACTCGGTGACTCCCTCCTGCGCCAGGCAGACCGAGCCCACTCCCCGCCTGCGCCGCCGGGCTCCGGGCAAAGGAACCGGGGACCAGGGGCCAGCTAAGCGGCTGTGGCCGCCGGACAGCCCCACAGGAGCACCCAGCCACCTCCTCTGCTTCCAAATCACTGCGAGGAGGCGTCTTCAGTCCCCCTTCTGCGCGCAGAATGGACCCGGTCGCTCCGCCCAGCGCCCAGACCGAGGGTCGCTCACCGGGACAAGGACCCGCAGTCGCCCCCTCCCTGCACCGCCTCAGCCTGCCCGGTGCACCGCACCCCACTGACCTGGAGAGATGCTTCAAGATCTGCTTCTTGATAATCCCCGCCATGGTGTCTGCCTGCCCACGCCCCTCACGACGACCAGCCGGGACCAGGAACGCGCCTCATCCCTGCGCCCGCCCCTGCCCGCGGTGGGGAGAGCGCCGGGAGCGGAGCCGCTATCCCCACTCGCGCTCACTCGACGCCCGGCGCCATCTTGGCCGCAGCATCGCCTGGTGACGGCGGCGAGACGGGGCGGGACGGCCCGCGGCCCCCGCCCCGCGCCGAGAGCGGCGCTCGGGCGGGCGGAGCGGCGCCGGCACAGGTGCAGGGGCGGGCGCACGGCACTCGTGGGGCCACGGGCAAGGGCAGTGGCGCCTCCGCCCTTCGCTTGTTCGCAGAGCCCCTGTCCGCCTGCTCAGCATCTCCGTCCCCATTCAGCGCCCTAAGCCTCTGCCCGTCTCAGCCCCACCGCCCACCTTTGCCCCGCTCTCTTCCGCCAGCTGTTTCTTTCATCCCTTTTCAGCCTTCCCATCTCCAAAATTCCGGAAGCGTGTCTCTGCATCCCCGCCTGTGGCTCCATCCCTCTCCCGCCTGTGGAGCCAGTCCCAACAGCATCACACCTTTGCCTGGGCCTGACCTCGGCCAAGCCCAAAGACAGGACAGCTGCAGCTTCTACAGCACCGCAGGAAAGGAACAAGGCTAGATAAGAGAAAGAGCTCACCGACAGAAACTTACAATGCTATGGCAAGAAATTCACATGTATACACACACACACACACACACACACACACACACACACACACACACACACACACACAAACACAAACACAAACACACACACAAAGATCCTATACCCGAATTGCTCAAACCCAGAGACTTGTAAAATCAGGTTATCCCTCAGATGCTAACATTTTGCTGGGTATCTGTGACAAGTATATAGCCTATGAGTTATTTTACTTTTGAGAGAATAGCCTCTCATGCTGTAGTAAAGTCTCCAAGTCAGTTAAGAAATTAATGTCTTGTATTAGTTTTGTTCATCCAAAAAGGGTTTTGTAACCCTTTTCCCCTAGCACTCCCTCATTCATAAAAGGCATCTGGAAGAATTGTTGGGTAACCAAGTACCCTAAAAATATTAACTGGAAAAAGAAAAAACTATCAGTCAGAAAACTAAAAAGTTTTTCAGATGTGACCTCATATGCAGGATGGGCCTCTGTAATAGATTTTGAGCTGCAGGGGAAAGACACCAGATACTATTTTCTCTGCTTCTCATATACATAACATTAATAATTTAAAAGTGATGAACCAAAACCCTAAGGACCTTTAAGTCAGAAATATGAAGCAGTAATAGAAAAAATAGGTCAGGAGATGAAAATTTTCAATTGATTTTTCCAGACATTTAAAAATCAGTCAGTTGTGTAATACTGACCTCATTATATTCTTAAAGAGATTTATAAAGCAAGAATGAGCTGTGTATGAAGCTAACACTTTTATGCCTGTTTTACATTCAGTTTTCTCAAGGAAAAAGTCTACCAGTATCATGGAGAAGCAATATTCATTATCATGATGGGTCAGCTTCTCATCAAGAGAGAAAATACAAGGGGCAAGGAAAGCAGGACACATGCCATGTGTTCTCGTTCAAGTGTCCTGCAAGCACAGCTCTGGAAGAACAGGGGAAGTCCTGAAACTCCTCACTGATGTCAGAACTGAAGATCAGAAATATTTCTGTACAGGAGCATTGATCTGAGTTGTGACCTCATGTTGTATCCCCATGTCCTGGAGCATATTGTGTGGAGGAAGAGGGGAAAATGCACAGATAACACCCACCACACACCACACCCTCCTCACCCAGAAGGCAATTAGAAGGGCACCAACTTTCCATGTTGATTTCAGACCTTCCCAGTCACCATGGGCTTGCATGGTGATCCTCAGACTATGTCTGGTCCTTGTAATCCCACCAGTCCTGATCTGATTGTGACCTGAGGATTGTCTTATGAGCTTGATGCTCCACCTGTTCATTGTCACATTTGCTTGATAACCTGGGCTCTGGGCTCCACTCCCATGCCTGTCTGCCTTGCTCCCTGGCTGGGGGTGGTGGGACAGGCCCTGGCTAGCAAGGCCCTGCCACAGTATTCCTCCTAGCTCCTGGATTCTCTCCCTCTTGGAGCAGCTGGCACTCATGTCACTAAGAAAGAACCCCACTTGTGAGCACATCCAGGGTGCTGAAATGATCTCAGAGAAAAAAATTGTCTTATATTTGCCATAGGTATTTTTAGGGCCTATTTGTGAACACAACAGAATTGGTGAATTCAAAAGAACACCTGAGAAGCCATGGATGTACAGTTTTCCATCAGGCAATCATCTCAGCCACCACTCTGCCCTTCACCATCACCCAAATACGGGTACATAGAGTGCTTGCTGTTCATTGATGCGAAGTCCAGGATAACAACCCCCTGTTGTTATCCTGGTGCAGTAACTTTTTCCTCGAGGAACCTGGAAGTTCTGTACTTGGCACCGTTCAGTAATTCTGCAGTAATTCAGTTGCCACAGACTGGAGCCAAAAAGCACCTGTGCTTTGTAGAGGTTTTGCAGGGTAAGTTTGACTCTCTCACAGTTTCATGTGTTCATGGGGATTTCTTAACTGTAAAACCTGGAATGGAGTTGAGAGGAAAAACCAAAACCAACTTGAGCTCAAGCAACTTCAGAAACATGAAGGTCACAGAATTTAAAACAAAAATTGTTTTTCCCATTAAATAAAGCAATAGGAGATGTAGTAAGAGAATAAACTAAATTTGAGCTAAGTTTCAGTATCATACTTGACGAATGAGAAATCTGGCATCCCTTCTAATGGATAATACAAAAGATAATGGTGTGTCTTCAAATGCAGATATGCAAGGCTTAAATAGTCTGACAGACCATTATTCAAAGAGCATCACAAAATAGCAATTCTCACTATTGTAAGGGGCAATGTACAAGGTTTGCTACCACATGGACTTTTGAAAGTCCTCTTTATGTGTCCTTGCTGTGTGGCTGACTTGGTCTGTGTTACATACTCCAATGACAACAGAAAGTCTTATCAGAAGTGCCGTTGGAATATATGGGTGAATGTGTAAACAATCTCAATAAATATGTATGAATTGCCCTCAAGTAGCAGTGACAGTAAATACACCTACTTTAGTTTGAAGAGATTGGAAATATTTATGTATATTAACGACTTAATATAAATCTAAGTAAACAAACGCCTGGCACTTGTCCTACATCCTAGAAAAAAAAAAAAGGAACAAAGCAAAAGTAACTCAAAATCCAACACAAGTCATTGGATGGTAACAGATGAAGCTTCATAGAGCTGGATATAGTATTTAGAAGGGAAACAGTAATTTACTAAATTCTGGGTTTCACTTTTATTTTCACAAGGCAAAAGTTAGCAATACATATTAGGACTTTCTGAATCTAAACAGTTATTCTAAGAACTTTTGTAAAAAGATAAAAGTTATGCAATTTTAAGAATAGTATTTTATGTTTGTCTTTAACACTGAATACCTAATAAATTTATTACTGTTCTATGTTTTGTGTATTTTGGATTTTAATTACAAACCCAAAATTTACTACGAGTATACTTATCAGTAGGCAAAGAAGGAAAACAACCTACAGTGTTCTTTAAAAAGCACCCAGGAGATCCTGAACTTGAAAAACGGGCTTTTGATAATTCCTGTGACCTCTTCTCAAGAATCAAACCATGTATCTGCTACGGTCAGGATTAAGGAAGCTGTCCTTAAGACACACTTCCTTCACAAGCACATAAAGAGGATTTGTCTAAAAGCAGATTGCCATGTGTTCCAATTAACATCCTGGCTCATGGAAAGCTATTTCATACTTGTTAGGGAGAAGAGTCATCATATAGAGTAACAGTTATTTTTAATTTAAGGAAAGTCAATTACACACAAATACAAAACTGTAATGCTCTGTTTTGCTGGAATACAACAAAGGAACTAGTGATGGTAAGTAAAACATACAAATAGATCAAAATTCATCAACAAGACAAGTGCAAGGTGCTGCACCTGAGATGACATACCCACAGAGCCCAGTGCAGGCTCACAGCTGTGTGGCACAGAAACACCCTTGTGGAAAAGGGCCTGGGGGTCTGGGTGGACACCAGGCTGAACTGGACTTAGCAGTGCTCCACTGAAGCAAGGAGCACAAAGCAGATCCTGGGTTGCATCCACAGGGGCATTGCTAGCAGGGACAGAAACTTGATCATCCCACCCTGCTTGATGCATTTCAGGCCACACCTGGAGTATTGTGTCCAGTTCTGCTCCCAGCAGTTTCAAAAAAAATTGTAGACAACCGGACAGTATCCAAATTAAGGCCATAAAGATGATCAAAGGCTCAAGAACACACCCTGAAGAAGGACTGAAGAACTTCCTTTTTTCTGCCCGGAGAAGCCTGGGGAGACCTTATCACAGTATTGTGGTACTTACAGAGTGGCCACAGTGATGGAGGCTCTCTCTTCACAAGATGAAAGGCAGTAAGTGTCAAGCTGTAACAGGAAAGCTTTCATTTTGAAATAGTGAACTTCTGCCCAGTGAGAACAACCAACCACTGCAAAAACCTCTCAGGGAGTTTCCACTGCAGGTTTTCAAGATGGTGTTGGACAGGATGTTAGATTATCTCATCATGGTTCCCTTTACTACAAAAGGTTGTACCACATGATCTTTCAGTGCCCTTCCACCTGGTCCTCTTTTATGGTTCTGTGATTCTACAAAGGTGTATGCTGCTATATTACACAGACTTCAGTAAAGCAAAACCTGGTCAGGAACAGACAATTCCAATAGCACTGTTTTCCATATAATTTATAATAAAAGTGTTAATTATGCACACTTTGAAAGACTTTCTACATGAATGAAGGTTGTAGCCCATTGGAGGTTGGCCTCTTCTCCCAGAAAATCAGGGACAGGATGAGAGGACTAAAGTCTTAAACTGCATTCTTGTTGTTTCACAGAAATGATGATTAGACATTGGAATGGGCTGCCTAGGGAGGTGGTGCAGTCACCATCCCTGAACGTATTTAAGGCCAAGCATAGGACTTGGAGCCATGGTCAAGTTTACATCGTGTTCATTCATAGGTTCAACTCAGTGATCTAAAGTCTTTTCCAACCAAATTGATTCTGTAGCTCTGTAACAGTAAAATAATGATGATGGAATTTAGAGTTGCCTCCTTTTCCATTGTGTCACATTCTTACATAGCCCAGGCCCATGTTGCTGTGAACTTCTCAATGAGATTGTCACTCAACATCCCGAGGCGCGGGGCTCCCGCACCGCAGCATCCCGAGCCGGCAGGGTCACCCGAGGCAGTCTGTAACTTTAAACCACCGCCACAGCGGGCTCTCGCCCTAGCATCCCTGCCTGTCCCCAGCCGTCGGTGCCGCCCCCGCGGCGCTGGCAGCAGCAGGGAGCGTCGGCCCGCTCGGGCTCCGGGCGCTGTCCGGTGACGCCGTGTCACCTCCCCGCCCCGGTGTGACGAGCGCTGCCGGGTCACGCCCGGCCAATGGCGCCGCAGCGCCGCCAGCGTCACCGGCAGGGCGCGCGCCGCGCGGCAGAGGCGGAGCGCTGCCGGCACTCCCGCGTCCCGCGGCCACGCGCGCGCTGCTTCTCCGCTCTATGGTCACCGTAGAGATCCACGGCGGTGGCGGATCAATACTGGGACGGCGGCGGCCGTGGCGCCGTGGGGAACATGGCGACGCTGGTGCTGGATAACGGCGCCTACAACGCCAAGATCGGCTACAGCCACGCGAACGTCAGGTGAGGGGCCGGGCGGGGCCGGGGCAGGGCGGGGCGGGCGTTGGGCGTCCCCTCACGGCTTCGCCGCCGCCGCCGCTCTCCGCCAGCCCCGAGCCCCTCGGCCGCTCACCGGCACCCCGGCCCGCAGCGCGCCTGCGCTCGCCGCCGAGAGGCGCGGCCTGCCCCGACCCGCCCCTGCGGCGGCTGCGGACCCCGCCCCTGCGGCGGGCTGCGCACCGGGCCCCTGTGTCACGCCGTGCTCCTCTGGGTCACACCGTGCCCCTGTGTCACACCGTGCTCCTCTGTGTCACACCGTGCTCCTGTATCACACCGTGCCTCTGTGTGTCACACCGTGTCCCTGTGTGTCACACCGTGCTCCTCTGTGTCACACCGTGTCCCTGTGTCACACCGTGTCCCTGTGGGTCTCACCGTGCCCCTGTGTCACACCGTGCCCCTGTGGGTCTCACCGTGCCTCTGTGTGTCACACCGTGCTCCTCTGTGTCACACCGTGCTCCTCTGTGTCACACCGTGCTCCTGTGTCACACCGTGTCCCTGTGCGTCACACCGTGTCCCTGTGGGTCTCACCGTGCCCCTGTGTCACACCGTGATCCTCTGTGTCACACCGTGCTCCTGTGGGTCACACCGTGCTCCTGTGTCACACCGTGCCTCTGTGTGTCACACCGTGTCCCTGTGTGTCACACCGTGTCCCTGTGGGTCTCACCGTGCCCCTGTGTCACACCGTGCTCCTCTGTGTCACACCGTGCTCCTCTGTGTCACACCGTGCTCCTGTGTCACACCGTGCCTCTGTGTGTCACACCGTGTCCCTGTGTGTCACACCGTGTCCCTGTGGGTCTCACCGTGCCCCTGTGTCACACCGTGCTCCTCTGTGTCACACCGTGTCCCTCTGTGTCACACCGTGCTCCTGTGGGTCACACCGTGTCCCTGTGGGTCTCACCGTGCCCCTGTGTCACACCGTGCCCCTTTGTGTCACACCGTGCTCCTGTGTCACACCGTGCTCCTGTGTCACACCGTGCCCCTGTGGGTCTCCCCGTGCCCCTGTGTGTCACACCGTGCTCCTCTGTGTCACACCGTGTCCCTCTGTGTCACACCGTGCCCCTCTGTGTCACACCGTGCTCCTGTGTCACACCGTGCCCCCCTGTGTCACACCGTGCCCCTCTGTGTCACACCGTGCTCCTGTGTCACACCGTGCCCCTCTGTGTCACACCGTGCCCCTCTGTGTCACACCATGCCCCACTGGCTGGGGTGGGGGGAGAGCCTCTGGTGCTGTTCTCGCTGTGCCAGTGGCAGGGGTGGCAGTTGCAGCTCAGCGCAGTGTGTGGCAGAGGTGGGGGGTGGTAGTTGGTTTTCCAAAAGGTGTCTCTTCTGTACTGGAGTTGTCAGAAATTAAACATTTCCCTTACTACTGGCTCCAGTTAACAGACTAAAGCCAAAATACAGCAGCAAAAATATTATTGAAATTACACTGTTTATTAAAGTGGTGTAAAGAAAGTGAATGTGTCTCATACCACGTTTAATAGGAAACTTCCCAATCTTTTCCAGCGTTATTCCCAACTGTCAGTTCAGGTCAAAGACTGCACGCTTGAAAACCTTTACGGCAAATCAATTGGATGAAATTAAGGATCCCTCTGGTCTTTTTTATATTCTTCCCTTTCAGAAAGTAAGTAAGATACCTTCAGTTTAACATTAAAGCGAAATGTAAATTGTTCTAAGGAATAGTTTTCATACTGTATGTCCCAGCTGCAGGGTTATATGTAGTATCACACAAGAATCAGTCAGCAGTGTCAAGTTTAACAGTCATAGAATTGTTTAGGTTGAAAAAGACCTTTAAGATCATCAAGTCCAAAAGTTAACCCTGCACTGTCTGGCCCATCACTTAGCCATGTTGGTAAGTGTCATGTCTGCACATCTTCTAAATACCTCCAGGGATGGTGACTCAGCCAGTTCCCTGGGCAGCCTGTGCTAGTAGTTGACAGCCCTGTTGGTGAGAAAATGTTTCTAATCTAACATTGTCTAGCGCAACTTAAGGCTATTCCCTCTGGTCCTGTCCCTTGTTATCTGGGAGAAGAGACCAACCACCACCTCAGTACAGCCTCCTTTCAGGCCACTGCAGAGAGCGATAAAGTCCCCCTTGAGCCTCCATTTCTCCAGGCTAGACAGCCTCCCTCAGCCTGGTCCTCACAGGATTTGTTCTCTGAACCCCTCACCAGCTTTTTTGCCCTTCTCTGGACTTGCTTCAGTCCTTCAATGCCTTTCTTGTTGGGAGGGAGCCAAAACTGAAAGTAGCATTCAAGGGATGGCCTCAGCAGTGCCAGGTGCAGGAAGGCAATCCCTGCCCTAGTCCTGCTGGCCACACTATTGCTGATGCAGGCCAGGATACTCTTGGCCATCTGGGCACACATTAGCTCATGCTCGGTGGCTTCCAACCAGCTCCCCCAGGTCCTTTTCCACTAGGCAATGTCCCAGCCAGCCTGCCCCAAGCCCGTAGGGCTGCATGGGGTCGTTGTGACCCAAGTGCAGGACGTGGCAGTTGGCCTTGTTGAACATCATAAGATTGTCCATCAATCCAACCCATCCAGAAATCTTTGCAGAGCTTTTCTATTATCCAGCAGATCAACAGTCCTACCCAACTCAGTGCTTTCTGTTGAATCACACCCAATCCCCTTGTCCAGACTGTTGATAACAGGGGCCCCAGTATGAGCCCTGGGGAACACCACTGGTGACAGGATGCCAAGTAGATGTAGCACCATTCAGCACCACTCTCTGGCCTGGACATCCAGCCAGTCTTTTACCCAGCAAGGAGTTCACCTGTCCAAGGCATGAGCAGCCAGCTTCTCCAGGAGAATGCTGTAGGAACTGGTGCCAAAGACTTTACTGACTTTGGTAAAGTCCAGGTAGGCAACATTCACATCCATTCCCTCCTCCACACATTGGCTCATCTTTTCATAGAAGGAGAACAAGTTAATCAAGCTGTAATAAGCCCATGCTGACTCGACCTGATCACTTGTATGTTCCCTGCATGCTGGGTGGTGGCACTCCAGGTAATCTGCTTCATAATATGCTTCTCTGGCACTGTGGAAGACTGACAAGCTTCTGCCAAAAAGAATAATGTCTACAGAAAACACAATGTACATTGTTTTTGTAGTGCAGCAATGTATCAATGGGGAATATTTGTAACATACCTTAATCCTGTGTAACATTTACTACCTAGCCTAATAATGTAAATTTAGACATTTTAACTCTCAAGATTTTTTATATTATGAGTCCCAATTGTCAACTTTTTTTTTTTTTTTAAGTATGATTTTATTTTTTCTAAATGGTGTAAATTTGTTTCTAAATTCCTACAGGGTTACTTGGTGAACTGGGATGTTCAGAGACAGGTTTGGGATTATCTCTTTGGAAAAGAAATGTATAAAGTAAGAGCCTTTTCTTAATTACACATTCTGTGTAGATTAAATACTGACTAAAGGAATTAACAAATATTAAGTAGAATGGGAGATCTTACTGTTCTCTTTGAAAGTGCCTTCAAATAGAAATCACAGGTATTTAAGTTTTTGCAAACATTTTTGAGTTTTGGTGTAGAATTCTGAAAAATATTTAGGTTTTTTAGTCTTGTAGGTATGTACTCTTACAGAGTGCAGCTCACATAAGAAATTCATATCAATATCATTAAGAGGTCAAGTTAATAAAAAATAATCACGGATAGATACAATGTAGTTAAGAGATCAATAAATAGTTAATGTAAAAGGGAGGGATGACCTGGCTCAGTAGGCCAAAATATCTACACATTTTGTAATCATCTTTGGCTAGCCATTTTCTATCCCTGAATAACTTAAATGTATAAAATATAAATACCTGATACTTATTTTTTTTTTGTATCACACAAGCTGGATTTAGCACAGGAAGTATATTAAGACTTTCGTGGGTTTTTTTCTTTAAAAATTATTTCATTCACTGGAAATTCTTGAGTTTTTTCTAACACCTGCATACTGAGAATGAAAGTAATACTTCAAATTAACTTAGTCTCTGTACATTTTTATATTTAAAATATAAAGTGCTGGATTTTGATACATAAATTTCATTTTAGTTTTGGAACTGTATTCAATGTAATCATGGTTTTGAGAATTGTTTTTAATTCTTCTTCACAAATGAAGACTACAGAGAGATACAGCTGGTAATGTTTTTAGGGCCATATCCAGTTATGATTGAAGCAACCGTATTAAGTGTATTAAGTCCTCTCTAAAGTCCTCTCTACCAGTTTGAGATACTGGTAAACATGGAAAGTCCAGGATCTTTTGCTGGCCTCAGCAGAGTTCAATGGGAGTTTTATTATTGACTCTTCACTGTCAAGGGCTTGGATTATTAGCCAACTAATCTGTGGTGCAAGTACTGAGCTGTCAAGAAGACTTATTTTTCTGTAGCTGACAGGATTAGTGTAAAGTATTTTACATTGAAATCGTAGTGCTCCTTTGTGGTGTCTCTTTAAAATGTTGGATTACTATTTGTAAGGATGGGAACAGAATTGGGGAACATATGAAAGTATTCCCTTCTATTATGTTTTTTACCCATTAATTAGATAAACTTGTATTACTGATCATGAAGCCTTTAAAAAAGCTACAACATTCTAAGTCTAGCTTCTACAAACAGGTATGGCAAGTGGTAATCATGTCTTCAGATTTACATGATCTT